TCGTGTGTAGAGGGGTTGGGAAAGGTAAGTCGTTGAAAAAGGTAGGGAATGGTTGTGGCAGTAGATCGTAGAGAGGTTGGGAATGTTAGTTTGCAAAGGGGGTGTTGATTCGCCGAAAGGTAGAGGGTGGCAGTAATGGGGTTGGTGATGATACATAGAAATGGGTAGATTGTAGCTCGTAGAAATGGATAACGGATGGCAGTGAGGGTAGTAGAGTGGTTGGGGATGGTAGTAATGGTAGTTTGGGTTGGGGAAGGTAGATCGTAGAGGGGTTGGCGTTGGCAGGTTACCATTAAGGGCTTACGTACAAAAAAGTATGAATGAGAATTAATATTTTTACAATACAGTCATACAAAAAGTATGACCGTTTGCGATCATACTTTTCGGCTGTCTCTTCTCATTCATACCTTTTCTACTTCTCTGGCAATAAATACGGTTTATCATTAAGGACTAAATCTTATGATACATGGCCTGGTTTGTTTACAGTTGAAGAAAGTAGGTTTTGAGTAAGGGTAGAAAATACGTTACAAGTATTCAAGTATGTGATTGTACAGTAACGGACAAAAGCCTTTTAATAAGCCAAAGCTTCGAATCTGTCACGCCCTGCACAAAGAGTGTGTTAGTGAGCGGATGTTCGAAGCGGAATTCGAAACATGCGTGACAAGAGTTTTGACCGAGGCTGTCCCAGTGGCAAGATTTTATCCCTTCTGTTGCCTCCTGTGAAGTTCTCAGTCACTTATTTTAACTATTAATCAAACATTATCATTGTAATTACCATTTTATGATATACATTTAGACAATTTTCAGTACCTTTGACAGTGATTTCCATCTCATTAGCCTTCTCTAGGGAAGTATGAACCAGTGAACCAGTAGACACTATGCATTCTATTATTATTATTATTATTATTATTTGTTATTTTGTTGTCATCATCATTATTATCATCATTATTGTTATCATCATAATTTATATTATCATTTAATATTATTATTATCACTATTACTATTATTGTCATAATCTTTATTGTAATTGTAATAATTGTCGTTGTTATCATTATTGTCATTATCATTAGTATTGTTATAATTATTATTTTGTTTAACCTTATCACTATCCTTATTATCAATGTTATTACCATTATTATTACATGGTGCTTTTATCATTATTATGCAATGTGAATGGATGTTCCCTACGATGTTCATTCACTGCCTCGCCGTCAGTAACTCCGAGTATCCCGCTTACGTTCTCTCAGCTTTCTCTTTGCATTTAGCTTCGAGCACCGTAAGCACTGAGTTCAATTTCCGGTTCAATACTATAGGTGTGTGTTGTGGCCAGTTCATATCCTTCTTGACTTCGGGGCGGATACGACACCTGTTGCATAGACGGAGGTAGTTGTGAGATGAGAATACTGGTGTTGGTTGAGGTAAAAATCTTATTGTCTTTTTTCTACCAATCGTTCTTTTCCTTCTCCTTTCTTAGACTGTTTATATCTATGGTACAAACAGCGGGAGTTATTAGGAGAGAATAGCAGTGTTGATTGTGAAGGGAAATCGAAAAGTCTTGTTTTCTTTTCTTTTTCTTTATTTTACCAATCCGTCTCTCTCTCTCTCTCTCTCTTTCTTTCTCTCTCTCTTCTAGACATTCGAAATCTACGGTTCAGATAGAGGTGGTTATCAGAGGAGAATATCGGTGTTGACGGTGGAGAGAAATCGATATATATAACTATCTGTCTATCTCTCTCTCATTTTATATATATATATATATATATATATATATATATATATATATATACACACACATATATATATATTATATATATATGTATATATTTTTTGTGTTAATCCGAGTTTTTGTTTTTTCTTTTCTCTCTCCCAGACCGTCGAAATCCATGGTTAATAGAGATGAATATCAGTGTAGAAAAATTCATCAGTATGTCAGATCTTTTATTAATCACTATCAATATTATCATTTTTCATTGTGATTATCATCATTTTTATTATTATCAACTTTATTATAATCATTATGATTATCATTATTATGATCATTGCTATAACCATCATTATTACTATTTTGTCATTATTGTTATTGTTATTATTATTATCATTGTCATTATTATTGTTACCCTCATCGTTATTATTACTGTCATCATTGTTATTGTTATTATTATCATTATTATTACTCTTATTATTATTATCATTACTATCATTATCATTATTATTATCATAATTCATATATTATCATATAATACTCTCATTTGTTAATCTGTTTTTCATGTACTTACTCTCGTTTCTCTCTCTCCCTCTCTCCCAGACTGTTGAAGAGCGACTACGAGCGCTGGAAGCAGGTTTCGCCGCGGTCATAAGGGCCAGCAGCGCCAATCTTTCCTCTGGTGGCGACGATGAATACTACTCTGAAAACTAATCCTCAACTCAACACTGTTTTTTTTTTTTCTCTCAGTACATGATGGCTGCCATGTTATACCCACAAACAAGACATAAGCAAAAA